GTTGTGTTGACACGCGGAATGTTAATTAAGTTACTCCGATCCACTTTCTGACCTTCAGCCTTGATGAAACGGCGGCCTTGCATCACCGGGATTTTCTTGGTTGAGATGGATCGTGAGATTCGAGCACTATGTTGCCCACGGTATTTCAGAATGCCGAGTGACTTGAACTGAGATAGAACGGCCGGAGATGGCTTGAAAGCTTTGTTTCAGAGAGACAAGAGTTCAGAGCATTTCAAAGACGCTGGCTTAGTTCGCATTAACATCGGGTAGTTCTTATTAACTCCTCCGAAACTCCTGTCTATCTCTGGACCCGGTTGTGACTCTACGTCCATATCTATAGTGATATCTAGCGTGATATATTTCTCCGGTACTGCAAGCAAGGTTAGACCATGGACGCCCCACAACACCACCGGCCGGCGAACTCTAAATTTAGGAGTAGTAAACTTGGATAAAATATGTTTGAAAAGCCAAGGACTTTCAGCCCTCCTATAGTGACAATTGTAGCATTCTTGGGCAGCATTTAAAACGAAAAGAACACCAAAAATGGTAGATAGGCGAAGAGCTCCAGAAAACGTGGCAGCCATGTTGGCGCCTTTCACATATATCCTTTCACATATATCCATATTGTATTTCATCATGTTGCTCCAGTTCACCAGAGCCTGCTTGTTGCAAAGTCAAGAATAGCACCAAAACACCTGTCAATCCCACGGTTGGAGCTTATTGCAGCACACACCTTGAGCAAATCGATGAATCATATGAAGCAAGTAATGGAAGGTCAGCTAGTTGAAGAGTATCACTGCTAGGTCGATAGTCCTACAGTGCTGTACTGGATTAAAGGTCATGGGACGTGGTCACAGTTTGTTCTAAATAATTCACTTGTGCTAGCACTAGAGCGGTCCATTTGAAGCTATGTCGCAATCTGTCCGCCACAGAATTTCAGAGAGCCTTAAAGAATTTACTGCCAGGCGAGGATGTCCCCGGACCATTGTGAGTGATAACGGCAAAACATTCATGGCTACTGGAAATCCCTCATCAAAAGGGACCACAGCCTGGCAAATTTCATGGGGATGCTGAACCTTAAGTGGAAGTTTAACTTGACCCGGGCCCCTTGGTGGGGAGGCTTCTTTGAGCTCCTAATTGGCATTATGAAAAGGTGTCTGTCTGAAGTGATTGACTGAAGTCTGCTCAGCTGTGAAGAGTTGGAAGAAGTCCTGTTAGACATTGAAATCTGCATGAACAACAGGCCATTGTGTTAGCAGGGAGAGGAATTTGAGCAACCAGTGCTCACCCCAAACACGTTACTTAGAGGAAGGCCAAACCCAATCTTAGAGGGGGATCTTGAGAAGATTGGAGAGGAAGAAGTAACCAGATGAATGAGGTTTTTGCAGAAAAGCAAAGAGCATCTTCGAAAGAGATTCGTGAAGGAGTATGTGCACGCCCTTGAAGAAAGACAGCGGCCACCCACCAGTAACATTGCCGAAATCCCGAACACAGGAGCGTTGGTGTTGCTTAAAGATGAAATTTAAAGATTTAACTTAAATGGGGGAAGGGTGTCGTGACAGTTTTTTTTTTTTTTTGAGTTGTGTGACTTTTGTGATTGACAACCTCGTTTTGAAATTATGTGAGCCTCGGTTCAAATTACGTACCTCGTGGAAAATATGCATCGGTGACGTTTTGAGAGAGGAGAGATTTTGAGTTGTGTACAACATTTTGTGAAGATTAAACCTTCAATTTGAGAAACTAAAGTGAGTTATTTGGTGTCTCTGGAAAACGGAATTTTGGTTCCCACAAGCCAAAATTTTAAAAAATTAGACCAGCTTAGTTCCTCGACCCTCCGGCCCCAGTGCAGTCCATCAGACTGCAGACTTAGCTGCCTGGTTACAAATTTCTACCTATTAACGTTTCTACTGAGAACCCTGCATGCCGTTTGGTTTTCATTCACAGTCTGATGGCATAACTGCTGCTGCAGATGAGAGGGGACAAAAAAAAAATCCCAAGACGTGCCACATTGACCTTTCTGTTAGCAACAAGGAACGTGATAAGGTGAATTTTAAAATTATTATTAGATACAAAGAAACACATTACAGGAATTTCTCTTCTATCACACATATCAGAAACATACTTAACATGTGTAATTCAAATATGTCCAGTCCTTATATAAGCTTAGAATAAGAATAATGACTTTATTGGATAACACGATTACTGGTAGAACCAGTAGTTCTCACTGTGGTCCACTAAAACTTCAAATTCAAATGGCAAAAATACGAAGTAAAAATACAGTTAAAAATTAAAATTAACAAAAGTTAGTTGCAAACTGCGTGTGGATGCTGGTGGTGAACATTGAAAGCATTAAAAGAATTTATTAGAAAATCTTCGGGACAGAAACGCTATAGTTAATGAGCCAAAAAAGAAGTAAAACAAGACTACCTAAGTAAATACCAACATTTTTATTGGTGAACTCAAATACAGTTGATTGCAATTCTGATCGTTTTTAGTATTAACAAAAGGTTTTTTAGAAATTGATGTGTGAGTTCTTACAAGTTGCTTAAAAGCAGTGTTCTCCACATTTTACAAGATACAAAATACACAGTTAAAAGTAACAACTGAAACAATGAAATCAGTTTAGCCATATCTGTAACAGGATATTTGAGATGTAGTAATTAAGGGAAGTATAACATGTGGTATTAAAAACAAAAACAAAGAGATGTTACTGTTGAAATGGTATGATTTTAACCTTGCCTTGGGTAGCTTACTAAATAACACAACTGAATATTTCCTTAGTACTCATGTTCCTCTAAGGGAGTTAAAAAAATTAACAAGAGAAGAGAAATTGTATAACACAACTACAATATTGACGGAAGGTAGTGCTCTTAAACCGTTTGTGTGGTTTCGTAGGTTTTAAAACTTTTATGCCTTCCCTGGAACATAATTTTGTTTAAGTCTCATAATTACTTACTGATTAGGTTGTTTATAGTGTCATTAGGAAGTAAACTTTACTATCTTTTTGTTTGGCAGGGCTTGAATGAGAGTTTAAGAAAAAGAGAGGTAATATTCATACATCTAAATATGACTTAACAAGGGGAGGAACTTTGAAATTACTGAAGTTGTTGGTCTGGTATATTGTATGTTTTCTTCCCCTGTCTGTAACATAATTTTCTTCAAGCCTTATAATGGGATATCAGATGTCATCTGAGAGTCTGTTGTTATTAGAAAGCTGCTTATAGCATCATTAAAGCAAGTAAACTTGTGAATTTTTTATCCGCCCTGGACTGAACGAAAATTTGAGCAAATAGATAACTCTTGTGTTGCAAATGCTTGGAAGAGCAGTTATGTCGCACTTGCTACGAGTTATAGTTTTCCTTTAATCTGTGATTCACTATTGGCTATACATGTATTTTAAATCTAAATATCACTGAAAGGGGAGGAACTGTGAAATTACTTGGGTTGTTTTGCATGCTATAATTTTCTTATTCCCTGCCTGCAACATGATTTTCTGTAAGTCTTCAAGTGGGATATCAAATAACAACATCTGGGAGTCGGTTGTTTTGAGGAAGCTGCTAAAAGCTGAGGAAGGTACTAAAAAGAATTAAGCTGATTTGATCAGACTTATTTATTTTGCTTGTTTATTCTTGTATTATTCTTGCCCATTATAAGCCCGAAAACGTTATATTTCTTTTATCTCTTTGTCTACATCTGTGCTGAGGAGTTATTCGTTGACGAAATAATCAGTTAAGAAAAGAAGTTGATAAGATGAGTAGTTCGTACCAAGTACTACGGTACTAACGTACCAAACAAATGAACAACAAGCCGTGATGAGTTGTCCGGAACAAGTTCTACAGAACTAGCGTACTAAGCAAATAAACAAGCCGTGATGAGTTGTCCGTACCAAGTACTAAGGTACTAACGTACTAAGAAAAAAACATGCCATGGTGAGTGTCTGTACCGAGTACTAAGGCACTAACGTACTAAGGCACTAAACAATTGAAGAACAAGCGGTGATGAGTTGTCCGTACCGAGTACTACAATACTAATGTACTAGGCAAATAAACATGCCGTGATGAGTTGTCCGTACCGAGTACTACAGTACTAACGTACTAAGCAAATAAACATCCCGTGGTGAGTGTCTGTACCGAGTACTAAGGTACTAACGTACTAAGGCACTAAACAAATGAAGAACAAGCCGTGATGAGTTGTCCGTACCGAGTACTGCAGTACTAACGTACTAAGCAAATAAACATGCTGTGGCGAGTTGTCCATACCGAGTACTACAGTACTAATGTACTAAGCAAATAAACAAGCCGTGATGAGTTGTCCGTACCGAGTACTACAGTACTAACGTACTAAGAAATAAACAAACCGTGATGAGTTGTCCGTACCGAGTACTACAGTACTAACGTACTAAGGCACCAAACTAGTGAAGAACACGCCGTGATGAGTTGTCCATACCGAGTACTAAAGTACTAACGTGCTAAACAAATGAACATGCCGTCGTGAGTGTGAGTGGTAACTGTCCTAATCGAAGTTTCTCCGTACTCTCCGGGACGAATGAAAGAGAAAATGTTTGAGGCTGACACCACACTATATTACCCCTCTCTTGGGATAAGAACGATTAGTGCATAAAACATCTCGACTTTATCACGTTCAAGGTATCATATTCAAGCTAGTTATCTGATAAATAAGACTTCGTCGACATGGCCACTTTTTTTTAACGCTGACCTCGAAAAACCGAATCGTTACATGACTTAATAGTCATCCAGAAAAGACCCTTGAGGTTCTGAATTGTAAAAGAACTAGGAACTAAATATTTTATGAAATATTGATTTGAAAGGAAGATAGTGCCGAGAATTTTAACATGGTTCGAGGCTGATCCCTTTTCCCAAAAAGATACGTTTTCAAACAGAAAGAGATACTGGTTTACGGAGAATAACTATTCTAAATTAGTAAGAGTGGACGTTACTTTGAGGGGAAAATGGGTATGGGAGTGCAGTGTCTTGGAGAAGATGATGTGATCTCATTCTTATTCCGTGGGGTAAATTAGAAGTTGCAAAACGATAATTTTGACCCCGCTCTGGTGAGAGAGGGCAAACATCAGGGTAATTAACTTGGTTGTTAAACCCCTCTACATTAACAGGGACCTGCCACATGCAGTGGGAATACTTGAGCTTCCAGTTACCATCTGCCACATACATGACACCACAGCCTGTTTGGATGTAAAAGATATGCAATAAGACAATAAAGTTGCAAAATTTTTTAATTTGATAGCTGCAATGCATCAATGAATAACAAAGATGACACATTTCTTTTACTGATAACACTCATAACATAATGCACTATTGATGTTTATTTTAAACTTAAAGCTCTGTTTAACCTTTTTTCTGGCAACTGGGGAAGCATTCATGATGGTATAGGTTTTCACTTCGTATCTTCTCCACATATTCCATAGCATCCTCTTCTGACCCATAGAGACTCCCTTTCTGCTGTGTGAACACCCACTTTTCAAGCAAACCCAAATCTTGAAGCTCCTCCGACAACTCCTCTTTCCAGAAGAATTTAGCGACAGATTTACTAGACATCTCTCCCGGAAGGTTTGCTGAAAAGAATTGGTAGGATATGATATACCAGTTAAAAAATACATTACAGAGCAAATGGTTAATTGAGATAATTAGAAATTGGTAATAGTTATATTATTTATTTACCCACCTTTTAAACTTGTCACATGTTTGTGGGGTAGAGGTTGATGCTCTCATCCCTAAAAGGTTCAAATAAATGATAAATTTAGGAACCTTTATGGAAACTGCAATGTGATACATTTAACAAGCAGTAAATAATAATACAAATGAAAAACAAACCAATATCTTCGCTTTTCTCCGTCACATCTGAATCAACAACTAATTGTTGATCATCATCCCCCTGTATATACTCTGCAAAAAAAGTACCTAACTTAAAAATAAAAAAATTATCAAGTTACTTTGACCATGTTGTGGTAATCTGGTACTTACTAGCAAAGTGTTGGTCACAATAGATATGATTAAATAACTGGCTATATGGTATGATCCTTAAAGGAGAAGCGGGGGAACAGAAACAAACAAAAGCTGCTAAATCAAAGAATGCATACGGCCAACTCGTGGTCTTTCCATTCGTTTGATACGTTTCGCCTAAGATTCGATCAGTAATATTTCCTTTGTGACGTGATGATTTTAGTTTACAAGGTGTGAACGATGTACCTCACGACTCGTTTCATATGTCCGCAAGTTGTTTTGTTTTGGTTTTTTTTTTTTTTGTCAACCGGATTAAAATTACAAATATGCGGTAGTGGATTCTACGAGTTTTCTTTTGTAAGAAAAGGACAAGATTATCCTCATCCACAAACATCGATCTAGTAGCTAAAGTTTACAAAAGATAATTGAGTTAAAACTCAATTATCCTATGTAAATTTATTATCTAATTGAAAAATAGCTCGGCCAATGACTTTTACTGTTTCCACGGCCGGCTCGTGTTTCACATCAGGTCGTAAACAATCGAATTGATACTTAATGTTGGGTTTGAGTCTGAGCCCGAATTTTTTTCCTAAGTCGAAATGTAGCGGTTAAAACAACATCGCGAAGTATAAACTGTAAAATTTAAGTTCTTAAGATCTAAATTCGCGAGTTGAAGGTGAAGATTAATTTAAAGAACTCAAGTTAGTCCAAAGCTGTTTCGGGGATTCTCGAGTTTTGGCTGACTAACAGCGTCTTGATTGAATGACATACACATTTGAATATCAGAGTCTCCATAGAAACGCTTCGCGTACCATAACTTCCGAAAAAAAAAAAAGGTTTTGCGTGACGCATGAGGGCCCCAATATTTGCAGCGTGACGCGTGATTGAACCCAAATTATCCAGGTGACGCGGGACCTGACTTCAAAACGGGATGTTACAAGCGCGTGATGCGTGATTTACTAGACCTACTTCTTAAATTTCCGTGATAAACGAACGCTCTTTGACTTATGAGGTAATAAACAACTTGAATAATAAAGCGTAACTCTTGTGTCATATATCCTGATTCTTTAACTTGTTTTTTTTTATTGTGTTCGATACTTGTAGAGTACGATTCGATATTGCGATATGAAGACCGAGTAAACGCTCTCGAAGCGTCTAATTCAACAAGGAGGTCGTCTTAGATTGTGTAACAAAGAGCGATATGACAAGTAGAACGCAATTCATTCCAGAAACAAAAAAAAGAAAACCAAAAAACTTTGGATGCAATATAATTTCGAATAAAGCATCCGATGAGTTTCAGTATTAGTTTGGCGTACTTACTCCTTTATACGTGACACGTAATTAGATAAAAAATAATCATGCACGATTTACTAGAAAAATTCAGCGTAATGTGTTATTGGAATGTTACTGGATTACATGTGTTTCTATGAAAAAAGATAGGATCGAAGGATTTTAATTTTCGCCTCAAATAATCTTATCAATCAAGTACATGAAACTGGTTACTAAGTTTAGGGGAACGTGTATCTTCAATGGAACAACACTTACCCAAGGCTTGGTATCCACTTGTAGAAATCGCGATTCATGTAGGACACGTTGCTTGCCTCAATGAAAGGCGACTGAATACCTCTAGGATAAATAAGCGCTCCACTTTCGTCAGTGAAGTGCCCAATGCCATATGTTGTTATACACTCTTTGCACTCAAGAGTTATCTTACTGGCAGGCAAAGGGCCCATTGAACCATGAACAATTGCTTTGGTAGGGTTGTTGTGCATTTGAAGGCGCTCTTCACATTTCAAACAAGATTCCACTAGTGAAGTTATGAACTTGGTGAAATGACAGCCGTTATCCCCAGTAAGAGACCATAAAATGTCTCCTAGAGCGACGGAAGAGGATAGACACTTGGGGCAATATCGTTTCAAGAACTCAAAGGAGGATTTCGCTTCAGCTAGCGACAATGGAAAACCAATCTTGGACATAATGTCCGAGACGAATGAAAACCGAATCGGAACACTTGATCCTCGCATTGTCTTGCTTAAAGTGGGAGGGACGTGGACAACAAAAGAAGGGCTTGGTCTTCCTTCAAGAAAACGTTGTTTCTCATCACGAAAGAGGGGTCCAAACTCTTCAATTTTGAAATTGCTGCATCGATCTCCTCTTGGATGCGATTTTTTCCTTCGATTTGGCGTGTGATCGAATCTGGCTGAAAGCACTCGGCCAGACGCCGCTTCATGATGCTTCCGAAAGAAGTGATGAAGTGAATGTAATGGAATCGAACTTCGGTCAACTCTGTATGCAGTTTTTTCGCCAAATAATTGACAAAAGAATTAAATCGAAAGCCTTTGATAATTGCTACAAGGGGTTTCATAGTAAGTGATACTGGATAACTATTTTTTGAAACAATCGCTCATTAAAATACACTTAAGACGTGAAGAGAATTATGCAAAAAATGTCTCACCTCGATCTCTTTCAATTTCCTGACGAGTTCTGCTAAAGAAAGCTGCGACTACGGAAACGTGATGTAGGTGACAAGAAAGTGTCGGTGCGGGGTAAACAAAACTTTGATGGTGACAAAAATAATTCAAAGATAGTCGGCACAGCAGTGAACACTTTCTTGAACTCAGGAGTATTTTTCCATTCACAACGACATAAAGGACATAAAGAACGAAAAGAATCCGAAATATCAATTTTTTGCAGAAATCGTCAATAGTAATTTATAAGCACAATTGCGCGTCGTTTTCTTTTAAAAGAAAAGGTGGTACTTGGGATTTTTATTACCTCAAAATGGGAATGAGAAGGCTCTGGATTAGAAGAGTATTTTTATAATTAGCAACAAGTAAACAAGATTATTATCAGAGGGGACATGGGGGGTTCTGAATACCGCAACACCGCAAACAAAATAGAACCCCGCATCACCCAAAAATATTATCAAAGCACCGACATCGCGATTTAAGTCTCGGCATTTAAATGTTTTGGTTTCACTCATCTTTACCACGCGCTTGTCTTTGGCTGGCCGACAATGCGTGTGATAGAGGTCCAGGGGTCAAGTAAAATACTACCAAATTCGGTCAGGGGTCAGTCAGTTAACGTTTATTTAAGATTAACTCGGATTTATTACTTATTTTGTTGGACAATTAACCACGGTTTTATCAAAAATCTAGTTTTTAAAAGGGTTATAGAATAGACTGCAACTCGGAAATGGTTTATTTCACCGAAAACCGTCGGTTCGAGCCGCACTGCAATGCGAGTTGTTCTTCACCGCAATACCGCGTTAAAAAAAACAAAAAAGGGTCAACTTAGTGCCAGACTGCCAGACTCCTACTCGAGTCTGCTAAGTTCCAGTCCTTTAATAGAACGCTAGTACGTTAGTACGCTAGTCATTTCTGATAATTCGCGAGGTGATTTTAGTACGCTAGTACGTTGGTACACAAGAGACATGCAGTCCTTTAATCGACCCTAGTACGTTGGTACGCAAGTCATTCATGCTTGTTCGAGAAGTGTAGTTAGTACGTTGGTATGCTAGTGACTCACAGTCCTCTGATCGAACGCTTGTACACAAGGACGCAGGTCATTCGTGGTTGTCGGAGAAGTGGAGTTAGTAAGCTAGTACGTTGGTACACAAGAGACATGCAGTTCTTTAATCGAACCCTAGTACGTTGGTACGCAAGTCATTCATGCTTGTTCGAGAAGTGTAGTTAGCACGCTAGTACGCTAGTGACATGTGGTCCTCTGATCGAACGCTTGTACACAAGGACGCAGGTCATTCATGGTTGTCGCAGAAGTGGAGTTAGACATGCAGTTTTTTAATCGAACCCTAGTACATTGGTACGCAAGTCATTCATGCTTGTACGAGAAGTGTAGTTAGTACGCTAGTACGTTGGTACGCTATTGACATGCAGTCCTTTAATCGAACGCTAGTACATAACGACGCAGTTCATTCTTCGGAGAAGTGGAGTTAGTACGTTAGTACGTTGGTACGCCAGTGACTCAGTTAGCATACGTACTGATAGTGCTGTAGTACTGGTGAACACTGTTAGCACTGTAGTACTAATGACTAAGCAAAAAACTAAAAGAAATCTTTCCTAAAACGGGCAGCATATGTCTTGCGTATGGAACCTTTTTGATGGTGTATGTTTCACTCCAATTATCTTCACTGCTTAAATGCTTGGTTTAAATTCGTGTGCTTTTGAGGCGAGTAGCATACAGTAAGTACTGCTTCTTCTTGGCCTGTTTGAATGCGGCAGTTGAAGTAGTTAGTGGTGGAATTTCTTGCTGTTTGAACCTCTGTTAACAGATGTACATATCCTTCTATGGATTCGTCTAGGAAAAAAATAGAAGAACAATTTAGTAATTTTCTAATTGTGGCTCAGTCAAATCTATAGTTCCAGACAAGGTCTATATCTCCCGCCCCCGCCATTCTGTCGACTGCTTGGCATCCTACATTGTAGAGACTGGTAGGAACCTTAACACAAGACTGACTAAACATAAACAAGCCACTAGAAATGGCAATGTAAACAATCACATTTCTGAAGATCACCGACATATTAATCACAGAATGCTGACTGGGACTCTGCTAATTGCTTAACATACAGTACCAACTAGTTTCAATGACTGACTCTGGAAAGCTGGTTTACTAACTTAGAACATAGACACATCTCTCAACAGATATCAACAACTACCCGCCTTACCAACGGCTCATTAATGACATAAATAAACTGACGAACAATACATGGATCAAAACCGACCAATGACTGTTGACAAACTACACAAGTCTTACAGCCAATCGGATCATGGCTAAACTGGCCAGTCACGTTCAATGGAGCAGAATTCACAACATCATCAACTGACAACTATAATTTACTCGACTCTGAAGATGACTTCCGAACAGGTTGTTGAAATGTCAGTCACCAACAAATTTTCAGAACTTCTCTCACGTGGACGATCACACTATACGAACTACTGATACTCTTGGGTTCAAACCATTTACTTTATTAAAAAAAGCTTTTTTTTTTTTACCTGAGTCTTTAATTTTGCAACTCTTTGTTGTTGTTGATGTACTTTTACTAAAAGAAAAGAAAAATGAGAGATAATTAAATTTGTGGGTAAATGAATGTAATTGTGTTCATTAGCTTTCATGGCAATGGGTTAATGTATTTAGAGATTGCTAGGGTCTTATCAGGATACAAAAACTTACCTTGAGTTTGACGCCATGTTTGGAATGTCAGTTACAACTGTACTGTGAAATAAAAGTAACAGTATTGTGACCAATTTTCATATTTGCAGTAAAATGAACTAGTTTGTAATGTGCTTGATATACTTCATGTAGACGTACAATGTAAATGACCAAGTACAAATATAGTTACTTTGTTTCTTCTCCGTTTAATGCCATTACCATCAGGAAAGCTCCTAGTCAATGAAAATTATGTAGGTTCATATGAGTGGTATGAGCATGTACTAGAACATTAAAAAATCAGGAATATCTCTTTTTCTCTCTTCATGCAAAACGCTGATATTTAAACTGCCTCATTAAAGCAATCAACAAGTGCACAAACTGACTTGTGATCTGTAAAATATGTTTCAAGTACTTCTACCTTAATATTTGATATGGGTATGTTATTATAAACATTATCTATGCAAGTCTTGTTATCAGTGGTGTAAGATGATACAAGCTGTTTATATCCATGATCTCTTACAAATAAGTTATACAGTCATGTTCTCTCTGCATTTTCTAGCCAGTCAATATTGAAGACACCAATAAAAACATTGAGTTGTGAGGCCTGTGAAAATAACACGTTAGATAATGCAGAACACATTTGCAATATAGGTACACTAGGTGAATGATATATGCCAAATATGTGTATGTGTGGAGCAGTCATTAGTCTGATAGCAGTTATTTCAATCCCATGAGAATTACAGGAGTATGGATAACCAGGATAGTAATCAATACGACTATAAACTGCTGTTCCTCCATTTGGTCGGAGATTATTAGTTGTTATTGTACCATCATTTCTAAACAAACTATAGTTATCAATAATATATGCACTCCTATCATCAGAGTGACAGTATCTTGTCTCTGTGAAAATATTTACATCAGTACTACAGTAGTTCAGGTCGCTTCGCACATCTTCAATGTGTCTATGTAAAGACCTTGCATTTAAATAACAAACTTTTAATAGCACTTGATCAGCATTGTAAATGGGATTTGTGCACAAATGTAATTTAGCTTCAGTTCTCAGCCTTTCCATTTCTGTACATCAGTATTTATAGCTATTTTGTCTTCACAAAGGTCTATTATGTGTAAGCGTTCTATTGTTGTTACTCTGCTTAAACCTTCATAGTGAATATGAGACATTGCTTTTTTTGCGTCAAAGTTGACAACTATTTTATCAACTGTACCACCTTGTGACCTGTGAATGGTTTTTGCAGCAGCAGGACGTAGTGGAAATTGTTTTTTTAAGACCTGTGCTGTTCTATTTTTTTTACCCACTGCAAACTGTGATGTAACTGGTTTAATGGGTGTCCATGTAGGTTCAATGCCTTGCATATAGAGATGTCTATTATCATGTCTTGTTTTCTCACCAACATCAGTGCAATCAAATTGTACCCAAATAATACCTGAGGTTTGCCAGTTTCTTGTGTTTGAATAAGTTTGATTATGTTACCAGCACCATTTGTCAAGCCATCATCAGTTCTTATATTGAGAGAGATATCTGTTCTTTCACCAACTGCTAGGTTCAACACTGTATGCAATTGACTTGTTTTGTTTGGTTGATCAAGTGGAATCTGTTTTAGTATTTTTTTCCCTGAGTGCCTGAGATTGAGCTCCAATAACAGTGTCATGTGCTTTGATTGAGTACTTAGGACCAGGCATAGCACGGTGAACTCTGTCATTGAATTTATTTACTTTAGCATTCTGTATGAATAAGTGAGGTACACTAAGATATGTACTACTGTTGGAATCTATAAACCTTTCTTTAAGCTTCATAATATCTTGACAGGTGTGTTTACCTTCTCTTAATCTGTTAAGCAATTGAGCGAACATTTTACTTTCTTTGCCACATAATTTTATGCAATTCAAACATTCTAAAATGTTGTTGCCAAAGGTTAGGTGAAAGAACACTATACTCTGAATTGTCTAGGTCTTTAAATATGTAACCATCCATTGCTGGCTGAAGTTGAAATAGGTCACCTACAGCAACAATACTTACAGCTTCGAAGGGCAACTGAC